CCAACTAAAAAAAAAAAAAAAAAAAAATGCGTATCATCTATGTTTCATTCTTACCAAAAATGAACATTTAACCCGAACCCACTCATGAGGAAACAACTGCACAAATCCAAACTGTGGGACACTGTATAATACTGGTCTGGATGCTTCAAAAGTATCCATACCATGGAAAGAGGAAAAAAAAAAAAAGAGGGGTGAGCAAAGGAACTTGACAACTAAAGGCAATGAGTAATGTCTGATCGAACCCTGAACTGAAAACAATAAAGGATACGGATACAAATGGGGAAATAAAATGTATACTATATTGGATACTCTTGTAACAGCTAAATTTCTTGTATGTGATAATAATTTCAAAATAAAGCTGAAAGGAAAAAAGTAATGGCAATAAAACCCAGTTTTAAAAAAACAAGTATTTGGCATAACTCCTGGGAACCACTTGCTAATAATCTCTGAAGTCCAGCAGTTAACTTTCAGGATTACCCTCAAATTATTTCATCCTCCTTGACTTCTTGACTTAAGGATCCTCATTACCAAAGTTCAATTCCTGCTTATTTCTCAGCACAAACTGGCTGTTTTTACTTAAGATACATCCATAACAACTGCTCTAAGGAACTGTCAAAGTAATAATTGCAAACTAGCCACAAAGAAATTAATACTGACTTCAAGCTATTCATTCATCTTCCTCAGCTACCTGACCTGACTGCAGGAATACTGAGTGTTTGCTTATTGTTTCAGAGATGAATAAAGTGATTTGTCAGCAAGTCACACTGGGCTAGTGTTTCCTCCATCCTGCTCCAAGGAAGCTGCTTTGGCTAGTTACCAGATAATCAAGACAACCTTCCCCTTTCTCAAAGTGAAAAGAAATTGTTTATTCTTTTTTTTTTTTTTTTTTGAGTTGGAGTCTCACTCTGTCACTCCGACTGGAGTGCAGTGGCCGCTCCCAGCCACTGCGGCCTCAACCTGCTGGGCGCCGGTGATCCTTCCACCTCAGCCTTCCAAGTAGCTGGAACTACAGGCGTATGCTACCACACCCGGCTAATATTTGATTTTATTGTAGAGATGAGGTCTCACCAAGTTGCCCAGGCGGGTCTCGAACCCGAGGGCTCAGGCAATCCGCTCACCTCAGCCTCCCAAAGTGCTGGGATTATAGGCTGAGCCACCGAGCCCAGCTGAAATTGTTTATTCTATGTAACAGATAAATATCACCTGAATCAGAGGTCCTTGAATCAGGAACAGTTAAAATCCATGAACTGTTGAGCTCTTTCTCTTAAGAAAGCCTCCCATAATTATTAGAGTCAGTGCAACATTAGCCTGTTAAGTCTCTCCTTTTCCATCAGAGGGACTGTCCACAACATAATCTACTCTCAGTCGACTCCCTGCTGCCTAAAGCTCCCACTCGCAGTAAATTTCCCTCCTACCCATGAGATGACTCCATTTGTCCAGCTGTATTAAAATGAGAGGTCATGATCCCTGGATGAGGGTCCCACAATAAGCAGCAGAGTTAATGTTAAATACCCTTGGGTGCTTCATAAGCAAAAGATTTACCTGGGCAAAAGAAGGGAAGGGAGAGTCTTCTTCCAGACTCCCAACGCAGAATGAGGGACTGCCCTGACCGGCAGTGGGTGACAGAGGGGTCAGCAGAAAGTCTGAAAGGAACCAGAGACCTGATTATATGAATCAAGTACCAAAGAACTAGTGTCCTCTTAACAAGAAAGATGAGCCCTGAATCAGGTCTGGATAATTACAAACTCCATGCCCCCCACCCCCAAAAGGGCAAACTTTGATCCAACCTTCAATTCTGCCATGTTTTTATAAAGTCAAGAACATCGTCTACTACACCAGTGATCAGTATAGGA